AATTTTTTTTTTTTTTTTTTTTTTTTTTTTTTTTTTTTTTTTTTTTTTTTTTTTTTTTTTTTTTTTTTTTTTTTTTGGTTTTTTTTTTTTTTTTTTTTTTTTTTTTTTTTAAACATCTGCTCAAATTTAATCAATAACATATTTTTCTCATATGAAAATAATAAACTCGTTTTGGGTTCGTTCTTAACTTCGCTTAGCTTTAAAAATAAGATGAATAAATAATTGGAAAAGAGAAGAAATCAGGACGATCTACTAAAACGTGCCTGAGTTTCACTTGAATGTCGAATTTTCGTTGTTTATGAGTACAATCCGGAAGGAGTAGAAGAAAACTCTGTATTAAACTTTCAGATGGTAGGTTGCATATCTACATCATGTCAAAGCCTGTAACCTTCCTAATTACCTGTAATCTTTAAAATTAGCATTTGTTTGGTAAGTTAAAGTCAAAAATTAATTTTAAAAATATATTTTATGGAATTTATTACTTTTTAGTAATATATTTAATGAATTTTTATTAAAATTTACTAAAAAATTGATTTTAATCTCTGCCAAATAAGGGCTAAATATGTTTTAGAGTTCACTCGACGACCATGAATGAAAAGAAACTCTGCCTCAGTGGTCGCCTAAGAAGGTTTAACATGTAAAATTAGGGATTTAAAACACGTCATTATATACTGTATTCAGTAATCCTATGCAATGATGATGTAGAATAGCACGTACGAAAGCGTGGAAACAAGAAATTGGCAAACAGCCTTCTAGTTTCTGTTCATACTCTCGTTACTACCAGAAATATAGACATGCCCGTGTTTGGTTATCATTAAATCTGATTTTAAGTTAAGTCAAAATCGAACAATCAATATTCACCATATTTGTTATCGGTATTATAATTTTTCAATTACATATTTCAAAAACTACTATCACGGTCTATCAAAAAATCTAATTTTAATTCTCACCAAATATATTATTGATTTCACAAAATTTCAAAAAACTGCATAATTGAGAATACTACAAGGGGTTGTTCTCTTTGTATTTCAATTTTGTGTTTTGAGTTTTAGATTTATTTTGAGTTTTGTGTTTTAGGTGTCTGTTTTGAAATTGTTAAAAATGCATTTTTTTTTGTCATTTTGAAAAACTATTTCTCAAAACATAAAATGGAAAATGCGTTTACTTTGAAATTTTGAGAATATTTTTTTATAATTATTTATTTTTTTATTTTTTAAACTCAGACTTTATTCATACCCTCAATTGTAGTTTAGGCTCCTCAATTAAATGTAAACTGCAATTCCATACGCCCAAATTTCATCTTTTCGCCCAATCAGTGTTTTTCCAGTATATGTACCTTCATTGCAAATGTAAACTGTACATATTTGTTTCCAGATATAAAAAACGCAACCTAAATCAAATTCAAAGTAAACGAGCCAAAAATCAAAATCATCCATTCAATTCAAAAGGCAATTATATTTTCTTGTAAAGGTAATCATATAAACATTCTGACCAACAAAACTACCATGCTACATTGACATAATTAATGGACTAGGTGTTGCATACAAAGCAATGGGGAATTATGCCAAGTCTAATGACAATGGAATTACAAAATTAATTAGCTCAGCCACCAGCAATTCAAAGATTAAATCCACCAGCATCATCACCATCCTTAGAACCCCACTTTTGTGAGCCACGGTCTGAATCTTGCCTGTCGTTTCCTCTGCCACCTTGGCCGTGCCCACGTCCATGTCTGGGTGCTCCACTTGGATGCCTGTCTTGGTCGCCACCATTTCTATAATCACCTCTACCTATAACCAAACATATTTAGATAGATTAAAACATGGAAGGACAATATTAGTGATAAATCAGTACAACAAAACAAAGATAATACTTGGCAAAACTGAAACTGGAAATAAAACCCGAGAATCTTTCAACAACTGTAGGCACCATGCCACATTTTATAAACCACAACTCTAGCACTCTCTCTCAACCTCTCCACCACATGACCTCCAACCCCATTCCTTAAACACTCCTGCCTTCGCGGCCACTCTTCACGTCACAAAACACAGGCCTTGAGCCTCTCTTGCGATCAAAATCCATCTCAAGCGAGTCATCCAGACATATGTCAACCTCAAACCTATAGGTTCCTTTCAACTATAAATTCCTCAAAGGTTGTCAATCTAGCTAGAGATCAAAATAAGAAATGTGTAATTCATAAGTTCAAAAGAATAAATAAGAAAAATCAATCACTTTCAAACATGACTTTAGGAGAAACTAATAATATATAAGGTCCCATATGTGAATTATTTGATTTCTAACAAATCTTTGCAGCAGTAAAGTTGTAAGTGGATACTCCCTTCACCTATAACTATCCAAAACCACATCCCCCTTGTGGGTGGAGGTTGGGGTGGGGTTTACTAGTGGGACTCAATTAACCTCTTCAACTAACTGTGCAGAATGTGGAGTTGGGGCACAAGAAGCCCCATTTCAATTGAACACTAAATTACAATAAACAGACGCTACTACTTATTCATTTTTGCGCAAGAAGGTCCATTTCGATAACTAATAAGACTGGAAGGAATTTACAAACAGCAAGAACTGTTACCATTGATGGCAAAAAATGTCCTTTTAAGCCAATATAATAATCTTGAAAACATATGTAACCTCAAGAATGAGAATGAGGTAAAGCTTCAAGAACTGTTAGTTGAAATTATAATCAGCCAAAATCAGATGAATGCTGAACTTCCATTTTGAATTTTTACACTCGTCAATGGAAGTTAGTGCATCTAGCACTGACCCCAACTCCTTGGATTACAAATTCAGAAAACAAAAATGAAACCGACACACAATCACTTATTCTAAGCCGATCCACACAATCACTGTTACTACAATAGAAACTATCACAAAAAGCACGAAATTGATCGAAGAAAAAAAAAAGAGACAGTAGAAACTATCACAAAAAGCAAAAAAATCAGTTAAATTACAGCAAAGTTTAACACCGATTCTCAAGGGCAGATCCATCTGGGCTATAGATCGACGCCTGTTGACCAGATGAATCATTCACAAAAATCAAATCCATTATACTCTTGAATGCTTTAAAACACCAATGAAGAAAAAAAATCGAAATTTGTCCAGAGAAAATAACACCAAAGAAATACCTAGATTTGACGATGGTATGGAGCAGAAAATCGGAGACAAGGAATCTTCGAAATCGCACTTGATTCAGCCCTCTACTCCGCTGACGACGTCGAGAAGCTTGTGGCAGCTCTCGGGAACGAAGCAAACCATAGAGAATTCGGGAAGGAAGAGCAAACCCTAGAGAATGGGTGTGGAATGTCTCTTTCGGGAGAGAAAGAGGAAGGTGTTTTTCATTTGGGCGTGTTTTCAGCGTTTTCAAATTTACCCATGTTTTGCCTGAAAATAGCCAAAACGACCTTTTTTTCATTTTCTGTTTTCTTCACAATTTTTTTTGTTTTTCAAAACGCATTTTCAAAAACGGGAAAGAGAATGCGTTTTCATCGTTTTCAAAAATCGAAAACAGAAAACGGCCCGAAAACGGTAAAGAGAACGGGCCCTAAACTTTTCATTCTACTAATCTCATTTTTCGAAAGACCTAAGTAATCCTATTATATAAGGAAATTTCAAAAACACAATAATAAAAATCCTAATCTACTATATTAATTAAAAGGCTAAAATAAGCAAAATTTTAATCAAAGGAAAAACCTAAAATTTTCATAAAGTAATTTCCACGTGTGGGCTGCATCAAATGATGCCAACATTAATTAGATGGAACCAGTAGATGAACCACAGTACCTTGTAGAAATGTCAAATGAAAAATGAACAATAAAATATTATAATTTCATCAAGAAAGGAATAGGTCCACAAATATTTTCCTGTTATAAATGAATTGAAGAAGAAATATATGTCCGAGAAACAGATAGTTGCGCTGCTCAGCCATGTTCTGCTTACTGCCAGTAGGCTTTGCAATTGTCTTTTCATTATCCTATTTTTACTTCTAATTCACATATTTGGTAGGAGGTATTGGATAGTATTGAACAGTACAATAGAGTTTATGTTTCTTCTTGCCGATATCTTCCAATTATCTTTTGAGGAAACAAATATCCTTTTCAGCCGCTGCTTTATCTTTTCTAAGTTTATTCTCGTAAAGAATGAATGGCATCTGTTTCTTCTTCAAATCTTGGAGTTCACTAAGCATGATCTGCGATAAATTGGAAAGGAAGAAAAAAAAGAACGTAAAATCAGTTGATTCATGTTAAAGAATTCTACTAACCTTTTACAAATAGCTTCTTACATTGATTTGATCTTTTATTCCTCCTTTTGTGTCGGGGATTTCTCCTAACGCCCAGTGAGACTGTTGTCTTCGTTTTTTATCTGCATCAGAAGAAATTTTTACTCTTTCTTCTTCAGCATGATTAATTTCTCTTAAGATCCTCCTCTCTTCTGCAAAATTCTTTTTCCCATATTGCAACTGATGACACAGTTTCTGAATCTGCATCAAGCTTTACAATTCAGAAAACGTTTGAGGAAAAACAGGAAGAGAGACTAATAATATATATAATTAAAACAATGAAAAGAAAATAATAGCCCATTTGGGAAGATTTTGCTTCTGCTTCTTGTATAAGAGTATTAGTTTTTTCTAAAAGCTCTTCTAATTAGACAAAGAACTTTCACTTTGAATGTTCAAAATCAGTTTTTTAGTTTCAAAAGTAACTTTTAATTTTTCAAAAGTCCCATCAAATGAGCCCTAATTAGTAAGGCTAAGGGTATGGTCAGCAATGGCAAGACTTGGGAGGAGGAGTTGCCTAAGGTTGGCCCAAGTGGCAGGAGTTGCCTAAGGTTGGCCCAAGTGGCAAGTGATTGAGCCTAAAGATGGGAATGCATCCCTGCAGCGGCTGACCAAAAATGAAATAGCTGATTTTGATATGCTGATCAGAGTACTTAAATGTGTATGATTTGTTGTTACCATTCGATAATTCCCTTCTGCAGTTGACTCCTGGAGCACATCTAGAGATTCTTTCAAATATTTGAGTTGTTCCTTTTTCTTGTATACAGGACCGAACACTCTACCCCAATATGGTTGAGTCTGTAACAATGTCTTAAAATAGTCTCGATCAGCCTGTACCACAGTAATTACGAGAATTTTCTTAAGAATCTTATAGTATCAGAAATAACCGGGACTAGTGTGAAGATTTTGGATTTTGGATTCTTACCTTTCTCTTTTCTAAGTCTAAAAGAATTTGAAATTTCATTTGGTTAAGTTTCTGAATCAACTTTTCTGCCTTTTCAAATTTAACCTTGGCTTTCAAGCTGGGCTCAACCTCTTTCTCATGTACGCAGCCACTGCTTTCTTCCATTTCCAGCTTCAATGGTAATTGATTATTTTCTGAATCCAGGACTGCCTGAAATTCATATATGTTAACATTGAGATGAGATTGAAACCGTATTTTTAAGAAAAAAACAGAAGATATATCATATATGGCTTGTAAGTGTTACATTTTCTAAGATGCAAAATAATTAGGAAAAAAATCCCCACTAACCACAGTAATAGGATCCATTTGAGGATGAAAGGGGTAGAGGAGACGATCTGATAAGACCTTAATGCCATTTATTTATATTCTTCCTTCTTTATAAAATGAATGTGAAGTTGACTGACTTGCTATACACTTGCACCTCACGTCAAGTACATGTTGTATCCTTTATTTTTTATTTTTTTAAAAGATATAATATATATGAATTTTGCACCCAACGTCAACAAGATATCTGAAGATTTGGAATTATAACTTATAAGCAAGTCTATAACTTTATTTTGGTTAGAAACGATGATGATGCTAGGTTCTAAACAAAAATACTCAAATATTCTATAAGAGACTATTTTTATTTATTTATTTATTAAATTTTTTTATTTTTTTATTTATTTTTTATTTTTTTTTTTTGTCTTGAATCAAATATATTTCTGTCTTAGTATATATGAATCATTTATTACAATTGCCTTTTTTTTTTTTACCCTTTGGAAAACTTCTCCTATTTATATTATTGGATAATTGGCACAAAACGTCTCTACCTTTCAAGTTTATTGTTGAAAACGTCCCAACCTTTCATTTTTTTGCATTTTCGTCCCTACTTTTTACATTTCTTTGCGCAGAAGGTCTTTTTCATTTGTTTTTGACGATTTTACCCTCCATTCAAATAAAACAAAAAGAAAAGAAAAGAAAAGAAACTAATTGCAATAATAGTTCCAAATTTAAAAAAAATTACAAATCGATCACAATTTATTGTGAACTGAAAAATTTTAAAATTACCCAAAAAAAAAAATTGAATGTACAGAGAAATAATCAGGAAATAGAGAAATTTTTGAACCATAGCCAATAAAACTGAAAATCTTCAAAAATGGGTAAGCATAAATTTCAATTCTTATTTAGTGAAGAGTAGATGGAAGGCTTGAGGCAAAAATCACGTAATCTTCAAATTTTTTCAGTTTCATTGGTTATGATTAAAAAAATTCTCAATTTCTTGATTATTTTCCTGTATATTCAAGTTTCCTCATAACTGATTTATAATTTTTCAAAAATTTTGGGACTATGATTGCAATTAATTCTGTATCTTTTCTTTTCTTTTTGTTTCATTTCAATGGAGGGTAAAATCGTCAAAAGGACCTTCTATGCAAGAAATGTGGAAAGTAGTGGCAAAAATGTCAAAAAATGAAAGGTAGGGATATTTTTGACAATAAACTTGAAAGGTATGGACATTTTGTACCAATTACCCTTATATTATTAGTAAGGGAATCCAATACATGACGTTCAGAGTGCATATGTGCTTAGAATATTCATAAACTCATATACAGTTTTATCCAAGATTACTAGCTTAAGGATGACTTAAGAATAAATTCGTGAAAATTTCTTTGAAATTCCTCGAACTAGGTTCTCAATCCCTTTTGCTCACGAACCCAAATCCCCAGTTATGTGAATTTGTAAAATTACCATCAATTATTGATTCTCGACATTGTTTTATGAAGATCGATATTCTGTTATTTTAATCAATTTTTGTTAGTTTCACCATTAAAATGTCTTGTGAAGGCCAATATAAATAAAATGTCAATGGCTTTTTCGTTTGATAAAGTACGTATTTACATAAGGTCGCATTTGCTCAAATTCGTCGTGGGTGAGGAATTGACACTTCAGTAGAAAACTCTAATCATCAACCAAGAAATTCAAAATCATTCATCAATTAATTAGGTGGAGAATCAAGGAGAAGTTGTTGTTCATTGCTGTTTTTGTTACTATTGTTGTTGACTTTTTTTTACTCTGCTTTTTGATTGTTGATTTTGGGACTGTGCTATAGCTACATCACGATTCACACCTTTGTTCACAGCCCCCTCACATCGGGGGCCCGCACACATTAAAAAAAAATAGAGGTGGGGCCCCTTCATTGTGAGGGGGCAGTGAACGCTTCTGTACAGTCCTTTTGATTATCGGCGTCATAGAATTTTTTTGGTTCTTTTCTTACTTCTTGTTGATTGCTGTGCATTGATGGTTCTAAAATTGATTGTTTTGGTTGCTTGGGTGAAGGTCTCTTTTGTTGGAGTTTTGTTAGCTTGTAAATTGCTAGCATTCATTGGATTTACTGCGGAAGGATGTTTTTCGCAATATTTTATAGATTAGAATTGAATTTTGCAAAGATTATAAGGTTAAGGTTGATTTTTGCAAAGTTTATAAAGGATAGGGTCGTTTTTCACAGGGGCGGACCCACATGGGGTCATGTGGGGTCAAATGACCCCACAGTTTTCTGGAATATATATATTTTTTTTTTGGTTGAAAACTTAATTTTCTGCCCCAAAAAATTCAAATCCTAAATCTCTATCCATATCACATAGTCCATATCTATTATTTAGTCCATAAATATATCGTATAATCCACCGATTTCTTCCCAAAGTGCAAATATCGAACATGAACAACAAACAACCGATTTTTCCTTTTTGTTCATGATATGTTGTTCGAAAAAAAAAATTTGACCCCACAGTTCGAACGGTCTAGGTCCGCCCCTGGTTTTTCACAAAAAGTTTCAAATGTAGGGTTGATTTGCACAATATCTTTTAAAGCACGGAGAACCTAGTCTTCTTTTTCCTCCTCCGTAAATCTAAATCCCAAATACAAATTAATCGAAATTGCTAGAACACATAATTAATAATGTAATTTTCATCATTCGTTATGCACATTACAACAAAATCATAAAATTAAATGAAAAAGATATCTTTGAAATTCAAAAGCATTCTTTTGTCTTTGTAATTCCAAAATTTCAAGAGAATTTGGCTCGTGCTATATTTCCCATTCCATTTCCATATATACTAAAGGACATTTTCAGTTTTTTGACGTCTAACGTAAAAAAAATTGACTTGATCGGACGAAAAAACCCTTGGACATTTTATTCATTTATGCTTTCACCAAAAAAAAAAAGAAAAAGGACAAAAGACAAAATGGGGAAATTGTTGACAAAATATGGTTTTTATTATTAAATTTTGGTTTTATTAATTTAACAAATTCGAATTCTCGGTGGATAATTTGTAGAACTCTTAAGGAAAATTCGTGTCATATATGATATGTATTTAAATTCCCTAAACATATATTCGAGATTTAATAGAAGAAATTTTATTTGAAAAGTTTCGATTGGAACAAATATTTGAATTTGTTTTATAGTATATTTTCATGCCTCGAAGTCGAAGGTATTGTTATGTTTTGGGTTTGAAAGATAAAAGGAGAAGAAAAATAATGTGAAAGAGAGAGAGAGAGAGATGGAAAAAAGAGTGTCCGGAATAAAAGAGAGAATTTTGAAGTTTTAATTAATTAATCATGACACGTGCGATTACATGCATTACATATGCAATATAACAATGCAAATTGCTATAGCACAAAATTAATAAATAAAATGCATAAAAATAATAAACAGATTTACAATTATTTTGGTTTTTAGATATGATAAGATAAAAGTTTGAGATATTATTGAAATATAGATATGAATAAGAGTAATGTTACTCGTAATGAAGACTGTCAGTAGTCGCCTTATGTGACATACACTTGATAATTTAGTATTTGATACATAAATATGGTAGTTATTTTTTGAATTATACATCAAGTGAAAAAGTGTCAAGTATACGCCACATAGGGTGACTGTCAGTAGTTTTCACTGCAAATAGCATTATTCTATGAATAATGTTATTTGCAGTCACTAATTATCGCAGTCGTCCTACGTGACACGTATATGACAGTTACTGATTTGATATATATGATAAGAAAAACTATCACATTAATAAATCAAATCATAACTGCTATGTAGAATATAACGTATGACGATTACTGCAATGAGCGACTATAAATAGCATTACTATATATATATATATATATATATATATATA